TTTGTAGAAGTAGTTTCCCCCGCCTCCTTCTCAGGGCTGAGAGAGTGTGACTAGCCCAACGTCACCCAGCTGGCTTTGTGCCTAAGGTGGGACTAAAACTCACAGTCTCCCAGTTTGTAGCCTGGTGCTTTAACCACTACACCAGATTTGCTCTTTTCCATACATATAATTTTCATCAAATAGCAAATTTTGCATTTTTTAAAATTCATTTGTGAAAAAAATAAAAACTTCACCCCTCAACATTTGTGTCAGCATGAACTATGCAGAAGTAGACTTTAATTGTCATTCTTTCTCTTTCTTCCAGCTTGATATGTGTGAGAAGGTGTTGCAAAGAAAAAAAAAGGCTGGCAGACAAATGCACTGCTGCTGTGCCATTGTATGTTGAAACAAAATTTAAAAACAGTGAGTGTACATATTCAGCCCTTCCTCAAATTTGTTTCCTTTCTTGTCTAAATCTAAGACATTAATATTGACCACAGATTGTGGCCTATTCCTGTGGTTCAATCTAGATATAAGAAAAGTACTTACCACACAGATACAATAGAAGCTTCTTAATGGAACAGCAGCCATCAGGAGAATAACTATCATTAACAATGGGTAGTAAAATCTTTCACATGCTATCCCTGATGAATTCTAGTGTATGCTTTGCTTTTATAGTTTCTTTGTGTAAAATTACTTTCCATACTCTTCACATGTAGTACATGGCAGGATGGGGAGAAAATCTTGTCATTTTGAAAATGTGGCAAGCATTATCCTGGAATTTTCATTGTGAGGAAAGTAAAAGCTTTGTCATAGAATCTGTTAGACAAAATGTGAATATAAACATCTGCTACAATTTAATCATCATCTGGCTTTCTCCTATATCATCTTTTATTATATCTGCTAAAAATAGGAAAATAATTGCAAGCAGTTACTGGGCCCAATTAAATAATTTTCATTTGTATTTGCTTTTTGTCCAGAAGGGCATAGAATTCTGATACATATGTCTGTATTATGAGGGGGGAAAGAACTAAAAGTTTTTCTGTTAAGAAAGACCTTTTTCTTTTCCTCTAAAATATAGAAAATCCACTCTTCCTCCATAGTCTTGTTTGAGCATCAGGAGAACAACACATTTTCCACACACAGAAAATTCAAACATTGGTATCCAAGAAAATCTGGTGCTCCCTGAAAGTAGGGAAATTCTTGCTATTCTGATTGCTATATTGAACATCATTGTTCTGTTCAGTGCTCCCTTAAGTGAGTTTCATCTCATTCTAGCTTCTTTAGAACTGCAAATGAGAGGAATTAGTTCTGGGCTGGTGTGTGTGTGTCTGTGTCTGTGTCTGTGTCTGTGTCTGTGTCTGTGTCT